ACAACCGAACACACATGCACGACTACCGTCATACCTTTTGCCTGATGGCATTCCACTTTTGTATGAGGGGTGTGGTGAAACACTAACCATACTTCACAGTTCAATTTATTCAAAGAAAAAAATATTCCAAAACCATACCTTCTATTCCCCTACCGATAACAAATGCAATTTCACAGTGTGATAGTAATCGGTAGAGGACTACTTTTCAAACACAAACAATTTTTCGTAAATATAAAATACGCTCATAGTTTCATGTGATAGAGCCCCGCCGCGGTGGTCTAGTGGCTAAGGTACTCGGCTGCTGACCCGCAGGTCGCGGGTTCGATTTCCGGCTGCGGCGGCTGCATTTTCGATGGAGGCGGAAATGTTGTAGGCCCGTGTGCTCAGATTTGGGTGCGCGTTAAGGAACCCCAGGTGGTCGAAATTTCCGGAGCCCTCCACCTGGCGTCTCTCATAATCATATGGTGGTTTTGGGACGTTAAACCCCACAAATCAAAGTTTCATGTGATATACCCAAGCTAATCGTAGAACGACTTGTGAAGAGGGCGCCCTGTTTGGGTAAATATATAAACCAAAGCACGTGCCTGGTGGCCGTTGAGTTAATTCAAGGGCGTTCATGAGACACTTGTGCTGATACCATTTATCTCCTCCATAGTTGCATTATCATGACCACTTGATATTCACCCTCAATACCCGCATTTTACGTCACACTTATGATTTTAAACAAGCACGTTTCGTCCTCTTTATTGCACAAAATGGCAAAATAGCCCCGACACAGCCACTGTCGCGTATTCAATACCCGAGCCCCTTATCATATTCATTGTCCTGATGTGTTGTCTCATGAAATAGCGCTCTTTGGCCACCAAATGGTTTTGCGCCATAAAACAACAAGCATCATCACAACCAAGGTGTTAGGAAAACAAGAGAAGGAAGGCCTTTATTCTTCTCTCTTTATGGCATGAGCGAACGCTGTGTATGCTAAAGTTGGTTATGATATGCGCTTTTGCCAGCGTTTAGGTAGTCATCAATGGGCTTAAAGAAGTTCTCAAATCCCACGCACAGAGGGGATCGATTATATGTAAAGCATGACTGAGAAAGTTTTGTATATCACTTTAAAATCAGCACAACGTGACGAGGTGAAGCTAAATGCTGCCGTACATGACTTCCATGTGATGAATAATATGTTTAAATGTGTCGTTTACCTTCGTCATTTATTCACGTCTCGTGAACTTAGTATATGTGGAGCTGGGCAAATGGCCGCGAGCAGGCTATGAGCGTGGCATATTGTCGTGTTATTACATTACACGCGTATCAGTATTATCATGTTTGCACCAAAAATATGTTTTGTCATTCATTGGCATCACGTAAAACCTAATTTGATATATGTGGAGCTGGCAAAATGGCCCCGAGCGCATCCTGAAGAGCCCAATATACTACATTGTAGCGTTGACACGCGCGCACGCTGGGCAGAGTGGCGCTACGTTAGTGAAACGCGAGCACTCTATAGTCTGACGCCAGGCGCGACCAGCGTCTGCTTGCACATTCCGACGGCAACCGGCTCATTGACGGTGCGAAATACGGCATGCTGCATTTCCGCCAATGCGTTACCCAGTCGACACTGCGTCTCCCTCTTTTCGGGATGGAGGAACGCCGGACGCGCTGAAACGCGAATGCGTGAACGCAATGCAGCGCGGCGCACACCAGCGAGTGTACGGCAGTACCAGCGCCTGGCGTGGCAACGCCGGCGTGACCCGACAAAATGAACGCCGGTGAGCACGTGCACTGCGTCACGTCGAAATGTATTGGGGCCTTGACTGTGGCATGTAGTCATGTCCTCACATGGCACGAATCTCTTGATTATCATGTTTGCACTAGTCACATACCTTTGTCATCTATTGGCGTCACGTAATACCAATTCTGGCATATGGGAAACTAGCGAAACGGCTTCGAGCGCACCATCAGTGTGGCATGTAGTCGTGTTGTTACTTGACACGCATGTCGGGATTATAATGTTTTGATGTGTCATTTACCTATGTCGTTCATTCGCGTCACGTAATACCAAGTTTGGCACATGTGAACCTAGAAAAACGGCCACGAGCGCATCATGAGCGTAGCATCTAGTCATGTTCTTACATTATATGCATCTTATGTTTGTCATGTTCACACCAGTATCATACCTTCGTGATCCATTCACGCCCCGTAATACCAAATTAGGTATAAGTGAAATAGCAAAATAGCCACCAGCGACTCATGAGCGTGGCATGTAGTCATGTTGGTACATGACACGCATCTCCTGGTTATCATGTTTGCACCAGTTAACATACCTTCGTCACCCATTCACGTACTGTAATACTGAATTTGGTATATGGGACGCTGGGAAAACTGCCACGAGTGCATCATGAGCGTGGCATGCATGCCATAATTTTCATGTCAGGGTTTGCCGCTTGTTTTGGCCATGTCGTCAAGTCACACCATGTCGGTTTTGCAACATGACATGTGAACGAAACCACCGTAAGAGCAGCGAGAGCATGAAGTGTAAACCACGCATTTCATGACATACATGTCATGATTTTCTTGTTATGACTAATCAGGTATTCTCGTCATACAGTCATGTTATGCCATAGCGACTTTGGTATCAACAATATTATCGAAACGGCCAGGAGAACTAAATATCGAAGGTGGGTAGATAGATAGATAGATAGATAGAGAGAGAGAGAGATAGATAGATAGATAGATAGATAGATAGATAGATAGATAGATAGATAGATAGATAGATAGATAGATAGATAGATAGATAGAAATATTTGTCGCTGAAGTTCGCTAAGAAATACTTCGCATTTAAAACAAGAGGAAGCAATCTTGTGCTTGACAAGAGCTTGCTCAGATGGGTATGCTATAAACGGTTTTGCTGTATTACACCAAGCAACGACGATAACATGTGACAGCCTGGTCCCTTATCATGCTCTCAACGTATTAGAAACACTTACAACATGTGAACAATACCACGTTACAATATACGAATGGTATGCAATATACAGCTAATAAAATATATTTATCGAGATTTAGCAGGCATATTGAAGGTCCATTCACTAAAAAACAAATTATGGTTTCACAAGCTTTGCAAAGACATTTTGACGCAATTTACCTAAATGTGTATTTTATTTTAATAATTATGGGTGCCATAATACGCTCTTACAAGAGGGGAAACGGATGAAGGATACAGATTGGTAAATACAAATTTGACCATAGCATAAAAATATTGTAAAAAAGCTAGAAAAACAAATATATAGATAGCAAGGACTGGTACATAAAAATACATATTTCAAGTGTATATCTTATCATTTGTAGAAAAAAGAGAAGACGGACAAAAACAGGGCAGACCAAGAGAGAGAGTATAGATTAGATGCAGGTATAGAAATAGAAACTTGGAGGCATCAAACGCATTTCTCGTCATGAGTGACGCCGCTTTACGGTACTTTTTGCTGATTAGAAAAAAAAAATATGGGTAATGAATGAACTGACAGATTCTGAGGTCATACATTGTGTTTCGTGGGAGGTTATTTAATAATTTTGTGGCTTGTAGAAAGTAGGCACCCTTAAATTTATTGTAAGGGGAAAGTAAAGGCCTGATTAGTCAATCAGAAATATAAATCAATTTTCTACTGACTGTTTCCACAGCTCTTCCTAAACTATCTATAGAGAAAACAATGAAGAGATCCACTATTTATAAATTACCGAGGGCAATATTAATAGTGGGCTCAATAGTATCATGGCAAGTATTAAAACCACCACCAGTGCCAATGTTTTTATAGTCTGTGCTCTTCTCTTGTTTGTTGTGTTTGCTGGTAACATTACTTAAATAATTACGATAGCCTGCTACCAGCAATACTCCACCATTTAATTGATGAGACTTTTTGGGTAAGAAAATAAGTTACTTACGCTGTTAAAATACATATAGATCAGTAATTGATACTCAAACTTAATTCAACTTGAAAAGTAATTGATATCCATTTTATGTCAAAAAGTGACTAGTTACACAAAAGCGTATCGGCAAAAGCGTATCACCATTTTTATTTCGAGGAAGGGATACTACCTTTTTGTGGTCATTTTTTGGTGTGTATGCCATGAGAAAAGGGGTGGCGGGCATAGACGTGATCTGCCGTGCTTTGCATACGCCAGAGCTTCCACCTTACAAATACCATACTTCTGTCTTATTTTCTTATGGTAATATCAGAAAAAGTTAATGTAAACCTTTGTCCACTCAATTACAGAACATGCAAAGGACATCTTTACAACTTCACGTGAGGAGTTCATCTTAACTGTCATCTGTCAACCAAAAATTTTGGTGATGGAACACAGCTATGACAACTTCTTTTCCTTTTAGCCTCCATGATCCAGGAAATGCAAGTTTATGCTGCAATGAGTTCGCGCTTTTGATGTACAGTCAATAGCGCTCTTCAATGCACTATTATTAGAGCTATCGATTGCTTTTTAGCATCGATGGTTCATTAGTGACACAACTGTCAATATTATTGATATTGGTATCGGTAGTTCTGCATCCATAAGGCTGATATTCTAGTCGACGGTAATTCTATACTCTCGTCGACATCTATTCTTTTTCTTTGTTCCATGCATTCGCACGTTCTTTGACATGCTTCTCTATGCTGTTAGGAATGCTTTTAGCCGTATATTTGTACTTTTGTTAATATCTCATACAAGGCTTTTGATCAGTGCGTACAAACATTCCTCTAACTAGTGTACACATGTAGCGTGTGCTACTCCGATAGCTATGCACAGCTCAGGTTTTCACCGAATACTGTGTTATATTTTTAAAATATGTCATTCAAGAGCAATCACAGCGCCAAAAGCATTATTTCAGATTGAAAACGTGACATCAACTGTTTTTTTTTGTCTTCAACTATTGTCTTCAACAATTATTGTTCAGAATGACCCATTGTGCATATCACAGTTACATGAAATTGGTCATTCTTGCATTCCAGCGTCATGCACAACTGAGAGCCTGCCGAGCTTTATGAATTTGGACACGGTAAGCGCATTTTTCCATCACAAAAGAGTACACGAGTGCAGAACTAATTCATAGCATACCAATGAAGCGCCGAGGTTTAAGTTTGAACTCTTTATTATACATAAACAAAACTCGAAGAACCTGAATAAAGTTGTTCATGTCCCACCGTACCACAGACAACACATCTGCATCTATTGCCATATGAGCATTTGCGTTCAACAGCTGAACAATTTTTATTGTTATTCATCATATTTGAATTAGCTTTCACTTAGAAATATCAACAGCTCACCAAAAGAAAAAAAGGCACAAATTCGCCTCAAGGGCCAATTCATGATTGCGAAACCAACAAATGAGAATGTCATGCAAAAAATGGCAAGCGGATCGAAACGTGCAATGCGCTGCTCACTCCGTAAGGAGCACTTGGATCCTATTTTACACATTTATATATATATATATATATATATATATATATATATATATATATATATATATATATATTGAATGAACTGAGAGATTGCAGGATATATATATATGTATATATATATATAAATATATATATAGAAACAGGCCATAATGATTGACACACCCTTTGCGCAGTGGCGTTTGAACTGCCTATAATATTCAGCGAACACTTTGGTCCTTTTCTCTGGTTGCCGCGGATATCAGTGGCATACGTATAAAATTTCAACCTTTCATTTTATTTCATATGCTGTCGTAAGTCAGCTCTCTGTATACGCACCTTGTCTGCGTCTTCTTTTGCAGTGTGTTCCCTTCTGTGTTCAACCCCAAGCACAAGTTTCAGCGCTAAGACAAAATAGTTGTAATGTGATATATTTTTGTATATTTCAGTGCTTTGTCATTCCAGAGGATCTCTGCACAAACCCCGTGAGTTTCAGAAGTATCTTGTTTAGACACTGCTTGTGCACTTCTGCAGGGCTTCTTCCACTTTCAGATATCCATGGCCAAGTCTAATCACCATGATAGCTTGGTATCCGGCATGCCTGCTGGTTATGTACGAACTTAACAACGCCAGGTCTTACGCTCTTTTGCTTAGAATGCGCTTGATTAGAATATTAATATTACCGAGAATGGCGGACTATCTGTTATTCCATGAGAGCTAAGAAAAATTATTGAGAGTTACTCTAACGTAACTGTAAAATCGCACCGGCACAAAATGCATACAGCTAGCTAAATAAGCAATGAGTTAGGACAAAGCAACATTCCTATATCGCTACGTTTGTTTAAGTGAATACAAGAGAAGAAGCCCAGAACAGTATGACACCAAGCGCTTTTAACGACGACTCGCCTTTCTTGTGCTGGGCCTGGTCACAACCTTTTCACATCGCTTCGATTTCGATGATGTCGCTTGAAACTAAGAAAGGAGCTTCGTTTTTCGGGCAACATTCCACGTCCGTCATTCTTCTCCTGTAGGAATATTACGGAACCATTCAGAAGCGTTATCTTTGTCAATGTCGTAAAAACGAAAAAAGAGTTGTTACAAGTGAACGCACTGTTTAAATGAATTGAAAGTTTGTTACACAATATCAAATCATCCAGAAAGCACACATTGTAACTAGTTATAACTACTCGGAGTGTGAGCTAAATCAAGTGTAATTCTATTTCGTCAGTTATACGTAGAATTTTATAATGCTCATTGCATTGCTTGCAATTGTGATATAAAATACAATGTTTTCAGGTGAATTATTATTTGTGGAAAACCGTGTTTCTTTAACCCTTCAGCTGACGAAATTAAAACAGCGAGTAGATGAGAAACTTTCAAGGAAGTGTCGCTGAAGGCAACGTTTCCATCATGAGAAATTCCGACAGGCGCAGGCGTTTTCTTCGCAATGGCAGTTTTACACAAGCCTGCGACGATGGGTGTGCACTTCAGACGAACGTCAAAGGCTGGAGATCCGGGTACAGCACCTTGGGAGAACATTGCCGAATGCATGAGCTGGGATATTTCGTTACTGGCGGGGCAGATCGGCTGCCTGACATCAACCGTTGAAGCTCCGGACTTCTAGATCGAGATAACACCATCAATGGCGCACACAAATACTATAAATTAGGCACACTTTAAGAGGGGCGTGTCGTGTGCGCTCGCTGGCAGCGGGTATTCCCCGTGCGGCACCGCTCCCGAAATTTATGAGTTATAAAATTGTCAGTACATTTATACTTAGGTGTACACTAACCTATTTGTGGCAGCAATTTATTTGACAATTTTGAACCACAGACGACCGCAAGTGCGTAATTTGCGTCCATCGCCTGTGAAAGGCTTTGAAAAAAATATGTGATGACCCTTAAAGAGCACGTCAACAGGCTCCGACTTTTTTTACACCTTCTAAACATGATATTGATAATGTTCGGGGTTCAACGTCCCAAAACCACCATATGATTATGAGAGACGCCAGAGTGGAGGGCTCTAAAAATTTCGACCACCTAGGGTTTTTTAACGTGCACCCAAATCTGAGCTCACGGACCTATAAAATTTCTGCTTCCATCAAAAATGCACCAGCCGCTGCCGGGATTCGATTCCGCGACCTGCATGTCCGCAGCCGACTACCTTAGCCACCCTCCAAACAAGCTCGGCAATTAGTAGAGTAGACAGCAGAGATCACGTTTTCTGATTACTACAAAGCTGCGGGCCCCACAGAGCCTTCCCACACCTGACCAATCTTCTTGCACGCGCATAGGCGACAACTCGGCGATCAGCGACGTGACGCAGCCCACAGTCTGTCGATTGGTCTAAACCACGTCTGTACAAATAGTAGGAAAGTCACAACAGTTCCTGTTCCCACGCACATCTTGGGAGAGTCTTTTTTCACCTCAGCAACTCAGTGTCACGTGACCAAAGGTAAATGTCATATATGACGTCATTGGTAAAACGATCGGCTTCAAATGGCACTGCAACTCGCTACGTCTTGTAGCGAGTTGCAGTGCCGTTTGCTTACAGTTTGAGGTCACGTGACAAAAAAGCGCGTTTTGTTGACATTATGGTTCACTTGCACTTTTTGAATTTTTCTTGCATTCCTGTGGTCGTCACTCACGCTGCGTAGTTCTTTAACATGGTGGCTTGATTTATAGTTTGCTGCATTGCACCGTGGCACTCCGTTTTCTACTGCGTTGCACCAATTCACACAGCGTGACAACTCGGCTGAAGAGTCGGCCGAATATTAGTCAGAGTGTAAAATCTCAAATCCCGATCTGATCACTAGGGACGCCGTGGTGGAGGGCTCTGGCAATTTTGACCACCTGGGTAGGGTGGTTAACCTTGGGCTCTTTACTGTGCACACGGGTCTAGAAAATATTCGCCTCCTTTGGAAATGCTATACCACCACGTATCCGGCCACGCGGCCTTCGGATCACCTCGGCAAGGGACCAGAGCCAGTGCTCGTCTAATTGGCAATCCGTGTGTCGCCGTGCGTAATGTAGTACATTTCAGATCACTGATTAGCACATTTGTCTAAAACACTAAAAAGGCGCGCTCCGGACTGGTACTGACGATGTTTTCTGAATGTAACTATTTTGAAAGAGCGTAAACTGCCGCATATGCCAAGCCGCAAAGGCTAAATGCTTGAGTGTGGGATGTCAACAGCTAGATACGGGTATACGTATATGATATGAGTATGGCGTTCTATAAGAGTTTTTGGACCCCTTCAGTTGACCGCTCGTTGATTATTTCAAAAATTAAAAGCGTCCATGTTAACGCCACGTAGCAACCGAATGGCCGTCGGGAAAACTCCAGGCTGTACACCTGTGGACTTCAGCAGATTCCTTTGAAGTGTATGGGGCTAACAGCCGTATCATCAAATGCCAGAAAACATGTTTTAACGCGATTGCGTTAAAGAGCTTATGCATGCAGAAAACCCGCTGCCGACGTCGACCCCGTTGGTTGGGAGCGAAAAATCGTCTGTGCGTCTGTGACCGAAAAATCAAGTTACCGAGATAGCCGCGTTATGCCGCTACATCTCCACCCGTGTGCGCGCATCACACTGAAAAAGCCACGCATTCGAACAAAAAAAAGTGCTCAAGGTCTTGAGGCGCAGTAGTTTCTTTGCTCCCTGCTCAGCTTCCAGCGCTTCCGTGGGGACGAGAGAAAAGATAATGTAATTGCAGCATGCGACAAACTTTTGTAACTCCACTCGCACTGGACGAATACTTAAAATTTTTGCGGCGTTGAATTTATAAGGCAACAAGCTTTTCTAGCGAATTCATTCTATGGTCACTTGAAAAAGTGTTTCAGGGCCCATTTAACGCATTTCGTTCGACAGTGTAACGACAAAAATGAGCCCAGTCGGCGATAATAGCGCGTGCTGGTTCAATGTACTGTGTGCGTGTGTGTGTGCGTCCATATGTATGTAACAAAACACATGAATAAGTATGCACTTTGTGGTTGACGATTGCACTAGGGGCCCGATTTCGCTGTCACGTTCAACTCCTCAAGGGAAGGATAAGGGTCCCGCAATTATTTTCAATTATGTTTGCTGCCACACAACAAAGAGCCTACATGGCTAGCCATTCATGTAGGCTCCCAATACACAACAAACTTGGCACTCACCTAAATAATTACTCTCATGCCTACACAACGGTACGTGACATGTCTATGAGCACTACAGAAGAACTACTTCGAGTACGAAAGCTTCCTTTGCCGGGCTCCGACAGGGCACGGCAGCGTGGAAGTGTAATTTTAGCAACAAAACGCGCCTTCTCCGCCTGCTTTCGTCCCTTTTCCCACATGTACCGCGCTTATTTTTCTAGTTTTTTTCGTCACTTGACTTCAAAATTGCTTGACAAGGCATAGCCAGTTGAAGCCGATCGCTTTTGCAATGACGCAATATGTGACGTTTCACTTTACGTCACGTGACGCCGCGCTGTTTAGGCGCAACTTCTATTCTATACCTTATATTATTATCGATTTGCTCTTGTCCACCGAAACGAAAATCAAGGCTTTCGCCATTTATTGTATCATATATAAATAAATATACTCTCCTTCACACCTTACTGCCTTTAGCAATGCCCTATTATCGGTATAGTATTCGTGCGCTAAATGGCAGTTGACGCAAAACATAAAAAATGAACTTCTTTAAATGTATCGCGTTAACAAATACTATAATGTTTTGACTACACATTGACGACACACCACTAATTTCCCTAAACAGCATAAGTACATAGGACTAGTAATTTCTAATGATCTTAGATGAGAGGTGCACGGTAACTATGTTACATCCTCAGCCTTAAACGGTTATTTTCTCTAAAGAGACGACTACGCTCCGCACCACCTCCAACAAAACTCTGAGCCTGTAAAACCTTCATCCGCCCGATAAAAAGTATGCCAACTTAGTCTGGATATCCGCAACAAAGAACCTAATTAAAAAGCTAGAAAGGGTACAAAGGAAGGCAGTTAGATTTACCTCAAATAAATACCGCTTGCTCGACTCACCCTCTGAACTGATTGAAAGAGTCGGCCACTAACATTATGAAATCGCGCTAAACTCACAGCTCGATAAATGCCCTTTCAACCTATTCATAGGCAGCTAAACATCAACAGCTCTAGATTCATATCTACTTCAGAAACCAGACAGTCACTGCCTTAGACATCCGCTAACATTACAGGAATACCGTTTCAGCAGCAACAGCTTCAAGTATTCCTTCTTCCCATAGTAATTTAGAGAATGGAATTGACTGCCCACTTGTCTGACTAATAGTAAAGATTTGAATACTTTTTATCTTTACTTGAAAACCACAATCGTGACACTCATAGCTGAATTGATATTTTTTTCATGCTTCTTTTCTCGCTTGTACAGTTCTTGGTTGCTTTTTGAATAAGTGTTATCAGTGGATTACATAGTATAATATATTCGTGTATGTCAGCCAGACATAGGTTG